GAGTAAAACACTGCATTAAACGAGCTTACTGGCACGTTTAAAATAAGCCACTGTACGCCGTGCCGTCGCAGCAGGGTCGAACAGTTCATAAATCCTTTATTCGATGTATTTACTGTGTTAGCCTCATGGCTGACCATAAGAACATGAGCAGTTTTCTGGCATAGGACTGGCATAAAAATGAACAGAGCAGTCACTAGGATAGTAGGATCATCAGTGCCACTTGACCTGAACCGGTTCTGTGGAGTTGCGTCATGTCAGAGAGAGGCTATGGATTTGTCTACTTTAAACTAGACTTATTTAAAGCAAGCGTTCAAAGTCCCGCAGCAGTTCAGATATCATAAACATCATCAACCTTCTTCGATTCGATGTTGAATGAAGGGCACTGCAAGACTGGGCGGTTAGCTTCTGCGTTTGTGTCATTTCTGAACAACTGATATTTGGAGAGACTGAAAATTGTGTCAGCGGATGTTTCATGAGACTGACACTTGCATAGGCACAGCACGATGAGGGATAACGTCACTCAGTTCTTTGGAAGGATGAGAAAACGTTCTACGTTGGTGGCACAAGTTCGCTGATTGCATTCACCACTGACTGAGGTATTCGTGCGCTGAGAAATAATCATTAGCTACGACAGGCGTCGTAGGATCACTGATTCGAGCCAGCCAGCAATGTTCAGAAGTATCAAGTGTCAAGCTGCGTTAACTCTACAGTAGCCGTGGAACAGCTATGATGTTCAGGCGTCTGTACTTGGTTGTGAAAGGATTCGAAATTTCTCGAGGTCTTGTTTTCAGTTTGGCCTCGTAACTCGCAGAAAAGTGAGTAAAGTGAACAGTGCACCATGTCATCGCTGTGCCTCTTTATGTTCTTCCTCCTCTCTGGCAAAGTTTCAGTTATCTGCGAGATTTAATCACTCCCTCTGGTTGGTTTTTTGACCTGGGCTGCTGTAGCGCATCTTCTGATATAGTCAGCATGTTTTCGTAGTAGACATAAACTTTCGCCTGTGGCTCCTTCGGGAAACATTCAGAAACAACACCTAAAAGTTTCAACATCTAAAATTGTATGTACCGAAGATTTTAACAAACGTCTTATGGTTTTGTTCTAACTTAAGCATGCATTACTATTGAGATGTAAAGAAGTTTTGCAAGAGGAAATTACTCAAACTCAAACGAGCAGTAAGTTGTCAGGTCAGAACGAATATTACCACATTTATCGATATTATTAGAACAGATGATGGCAAGCATCCATATTTGGAAACTGCAATGCATTTCACATGGTAAAACATTAGGCCCACATCACAAAACTAATTCCGCCATTATATTGCCACGGTGGATGTTTTCTGAGCAATTTTACCGCTTTTCCGCCATATGGATGTTGCTCATAGCCTCTGCTTCTCGTAAAGAACTCATACACGGCAACATTCGCACCGCAAAGACCAGCTGCCGGAACAGCGTATCCAAGGATGCCCTTGTCTTCCCACCGCTGACCAATCCTTGCGCGAAAAATTTGGTTGTCGATCAGATAGTAATCTGTCGTAAAGAAGCCACTGTAGATGTGATGAATTGGCACCAGAAAAGGGCAGTTCGGGTCCACCGCTTGATTCACTATCTTTCCAATGGCACCGAAGTTCTGACATCTTCTTCTTCTCGAGCAATGCATTTGTTCATTGCCCTTCAAAAACATGTTGGTCGTCTTGCGACGGTCATACCATCGGCTTATGGTAACGAAATGGCCACCGTTTGGATCTAAAAGCTAGAAAATATTACATGGAAACGCCTGAAGCTGACCATACGTCCTCCACAGAAACTTTTTTTGTCCTTTTTCGTAGTTGTAGTGGTTTTTGTGGTTGTTGTTTTCTTAGTAGTGGTTGTTGTTTTCTTGGTAGTGGTTGTTGTTTTCTTGGTAGTGGTTGTTGTTTTCTTGGTGGTGGTTGTTGTTTTCTTGGTGGTGGTGGTTTTCTTGGTAGTTGTGGTGGGCTTGGCTGTTGTTTTCTTGGTTGGCTTGATCAGTGTTTTCTTGATAGCGTTGGTTGGCCTGGTCGTTTTACTTTTGGAGGTGATTGAACTGGCGTTTTTACCGACATTCAGCAGCGCTGCCTTCTTTCCATAACCGTCGATGAAAATTTCGTCATAATTTTTCCAAGAGTGACGACCTTAAAACATTGTATTTTCTTTAACCAGAATGGCAACGCCATGTCGTTAACTTCCTTACAGCAGAGCTGGTCGAAGCAACGTCTTTGGCAAGACTGGCACTTGTGCAAGGCTAACTTGAACGGCGGGCGCGTGTTCGGATTTCTAGACGAAAGCAAGCCGTTCGATGGACGACGGTCATCGGTCGACAATGCACCTTACCGATAGGTGAAAGCACAGACGGCTAGAAATCCGGCCACGCTGTCTTCATTCGCTCGTTTTATTTGATCACAGTGGAAAAGTGCGCAGCCCATCTGGTGTGCATTCGAGTAAAATGCCTGATGTAGACACGGTAAAGGTACGAAACCCAGCGCTACCATTTCATTACCTGACTGTAGCCGTCGCAGTTGTGCGACGCCTCACAACCGCCACGACCATTGTTGGCATTATAATTGTAATGACCAAGTCCGTCGTTGAGAATTTTTCGCATAACATACGAAGGAAGCGGTTTATTAACTGGATCGAACGATACGGCATAAGACATACCGAATGGCTGCGAGGCAACAGGAGGATTTGAATCGCAACGCTTACCTGCGGCATAGGCTATTTTCGCAAGGGTATTGTTCCAACCGGTCTAAAAAGAACAATTAATTTCAAAATAGTGTAATAAATTTTGTGGCACACTTTCTTGCAAACAACCCTGATTAGGTATTAAAGTATTTGATACACCATTTTCGATTTTATAATGTAATGTTCTTTTTGAAATTAGGCGAATATTGAATCATACTAATGATTATGAATCACCTTAAAATGAGTAACAAGACTTACGTTTCAAGGAAACGAATTTCAACTGAATGGAGGATCGCACTTGTTTCTCAAAGAATCATCCGTCAGAATGGTTCAACGATACAAAGCACACAAGCAGCATTAAAACTATGAATCGTTACATACAGGTTTGGAAAAGACTAGTTGAAACGGTGAACAGTAGATATTCACTGTGATCACCCCTTGGATATCCTCATTGAATCAGCTATTTGCTTAAGGCAAAATTTTGGCCAGATAGGACCAGGGAAACACTGCGTAATAAACTGTGATGTAGAATATGCTAATAAAGTTGGAGATGACCTTATAACGGCAAAGTGCTTGCAATAAAATATAATCATTCCTTTTGGCCAACCAAGCACAGTAGTTTGAGTCTTCACCTCTGAGTATAAGGATTTTTCCTCTAAGACTGATCGGCCCATATAATCACAAGCAGCGATAACGATACCAGTGTGCTACTGAATTATATGCCAGTTGTGAATCAATCGCTTTGAGACAAAGGGTAATCAAGTTGGGTCTGAGACTGAGGAAGTGGATACTTGCATTTTTGTAAGTATAAATATTCAGTATAATCAACATTATTACCCACACCGTCATCATCATCCTTCATATATCTACTCCTGGACTAAGACCTTATCAAGATTTCTTCACATTTTTTTCTCATTTCATAATTCTTGTCTACATCGCGGCTACTACGTTTTATTCTTCCTCTAAAGCGGTTCAAATAAAGAATTCTTTCAACCATCGTTGAATCATTTTACTTTCATGCAGGTTTCAGGATTTAATATTTCTAGCATGAACAAAATTGGACTTTTCGCACATAATTAGTCAGTGTCGTCAACTCCAGTTCCGCTCGGGTGCCTGTTTCCCCACTTTAAGGTTGCATCCGGTTCTGTACGACAGGAGAATTTGAAAATGCTTTGGGATACCTAAGTCAATCGTTTCCATTTTTAAGTGATGTGCAAGGACCATGTCCATCGTAAAAGATAAAGGACAGCAATTTCAATGGTTTCCTATACGCCGTAGGGCTTGTCACATAACGGTGTTTTTCGACATTGCTATTCATCACTGCGTTTAACCTTCTTTTCCAAAATAGTGAAGCTGTGGCCGGTCCCAAGCCCGGATGAGAAAGGAGGAGGGTTCGAGACTGTGGCAAGTCTCCGAAAATTCAGCCATTGACGTCATCGAAAATTATACCGGCTAGGTCGTCGCCCGGGTTACCAAGGGCCGCGCAGGCTGTTGGGGGACTGAGGCAGA